CTGTGTTCAGAGGGGTACCTGTGTCAGGTGTGTGTGTGTGTGTGTGTGAGCTGTGTTCAGAGGGGTACCCGTGTCAGATCCGTGTGTGTGTCAGCTGTGCTCATAGGGGTTTGTGAGCTGACAGATGTGTGCGAGTGTGCATTTGTGTCAAAAGCCGATGTGTGCAGTGAGGGCAGGTCAGAGAGGTAGGTGTGTGTGTCAGAGGCATAAGTGCCAGGCAGAGGAGAAAGAGAAGTGTGTGTGTGTGTGTGTGTGTGTGTGTGTGGTGGGGGGGTGAGTGTGACAGAGCCAGCAGAATAAGTGCCCTGTCTCTTTAAAGGCCCAGACACAGCCCCATCTGATGCGGCGGCTCCAATCAGCAGCCCCTGGGCTCTGGCAGCAGCAGGAGCCGCGGCTCTGCATTCCTGCCTCTTCCTGAGGGCTAACATGGCGATGGCAGGATGAGGATGAGGTGAAGCAGCAGGGGGATGTGAGAGCTGCAGCTGCACAGACACACAAGCGGGGCAGAGAGCACAGCAGGGGGGATTGCAGCAGAGGAAAGGAGAAAGGGGGGGAAAAAAAATAAAAACACCCCACCCAACATTTTCATGGAGAGCAAAAATCCCATGCAAGCTGGGGAGGATCAGGACTCCTTTGAGCTGAGACCCTTGCATCAAAATGGTAGAGCTGCAAACCTTTCATTTCTCTGATTCTTCCTCTTGTTGGTTTCTCTTGCAGACTTTGCAAAGGCCTCTGAAACTTGCCTAAATAATTGCAACCACGTTGTGGGGGGGAAGGGGGTGGGGGAGGGCTAAAAAGAGGTGCATGGTTTATTTTATGTGCATGCTGCATCCACAGATTGGGTGAGGGGCAAGAGAGGTCTGTGCCCCCTATGAAGAGGCAGGGTTGGAGGGGAGTGAGCTCTTGTTGCTGGGCGGTTTGGAGAAACGATGCGAAGAGCGGTGCATCTCTGCATTTGGAAAGTGGGTTTGCAAAGCAGGAATGCAGCTGGAGCAACAATAGCTGTCTTGTTGCGGGCAAAGAGTTAAAATTCCTTCCTAGCAGGCGGATGCCTTTGCAAAGGATTAGGTCACAATCCAAGCATTTTAATTACAAGTTGATTTTTTTTTTGTTATGCCCCGCTGCTCCCCCCTCCCCCCTTCCCTCCCGCAGCACTGAGAATTTTGCTTGTAGGTGGGTGCAATAAAAATCATGCCACCCTCCCCTCCCCGCTTAGGATCTCGAATGAGAAAGGGCAGCTGTTTGGGAATGAGACTTGGGCTGGGTTCTTATGTTTCCGCTGGATTTATTTGTAAGAAGGAGCAAGTTGGTACTGGGTTTCCCCCCCCCCCTCCCCTGCAGGAGAGGGGAGGTGGTGGAACTTGCATTGCAGATGTGAGCAAATGGGGGTGTTGGGCCTAGGGGAAGGGGGCCAGGTTTCTGCTCAAGGGCAGGAATCGAAACAAGGGGGGGGGGTGCTTTAGACACCATTGGAGGTGGCTGCTAACAGTTGCTGTCTCTGGCTGGGGGGTTACTTTACAAACGGGGGGGGGTCTTACCTGCAGGTGTCAGAGCTTGTTCTCTGGAATGTGGAAAATATTCAAGTTGGATTTATTTTTCCCCTTTGTGCTTAACACTCAAATGGAGAACTCATTTGATGCCCTCATTTAGACAACTTTCTTCCCTGCTCCATCCCCTTCATATGTGGTTAGCATTTTTCCATCTAAGTCCTAAGGGCCGGGGAAAGTTCTCTTGTCTTTTCTCACAGTGCATCTGTGAAGGTGTTTGAGATTTAAAGCCCTGATGGCCACAGGCTTGCTGCCTTGATCTGGATAGCAAGAGGGGCTTGAATACTCTGCCAGGGGGGGAATGTATGGAGTTGAATTTGGGTTTACATATATCCCAGTGTCATGCAGTGCAATTCACTTTCCATTCGTGTCTGATTTTGCAAGTTGATGTGAGGTTCGAATCTAATGTTATTCCATAATGGCTGACTTAAGGGCTTCATTCTGACTTCACGCCGGTGCAAATCAGCACAGGGAAATCGGTGGGTGCGCAGTGGTGTCAATGAAATCGGAATCAAGTCGCGGATGTCTATGAATGTGTATAGGCATTTATCACACGAGTGGTGCTGTACGGATCTGTGTTGATAGCTGCATAGATTTAGGCTGGGCCGTGTTGATTGGGGTTGCTGGGATTGCGGATTTGGGCCCAGTCTGAGCAGCAACAAACTTCCTTTGAGGTTGGTGGGAGTTCAGGGTTTGCGAGGGGTGTAGGTGCTGGCCCCGTAGTGGTGACATACTTGAGGTGCAGACTTTTACAGCTGGGTAGTTTATCCTTGCAGAAAGCAGGCCTTCAACTAAATATTGAAACATGTAAACAGAAATCCAGTTCCCCTCATCTAAAGAGAGCTCAGCAGTGTATTCTCTGGGAAATCTGCTACGAATGAGGACAATAATCCATGGAGCTCACCAAACAAATACTCTCTAGCTCCTTTTTCCCCTCTCTTTCAGTAAAAGTCTACTATTATGTTATTGCCAGAGTGATGGCACCATGCCCACAACAACACAGCCGGCAATTGGAGTAGCTTTTAGGAAATGGCAATAAAGTGCTAGGTTTGCCCAAGTTGTTATTATTTTCATATTAGTGTGGTCCTGCTCTGGGGTGTGAGATAATGATTGGGATGTGCCAAGTTCTTCCCTTAACAAGCCTGCTGTTGAACCTGCTCGGCAGCGCAGTGACCCATGCTGCGGCCCTGATCCTGCAATGGGGCCCTACGGAGGGTCTGTATGGTCAGTGGTGGGCTCCGTTGAAGTTGCGGGGTAGAAGGGTCGGTCCTTTATTAGTATTATAGTAGCACCTAGGAGCCAACTGAGAATGGGGCCTTATTGCGCTCGGCACTGTACAGAGTAAGAGACAGCCCCTGAAGACACTACTCTGTGTAGACAGGAGAAGCCTAATTGGAGTGCCTGATTCCTTGCTTACTAAAAATTACCACTGACAGTGGAGTGCAGTAGTGGTAGGGTGACCAGACTGCAAGTGTGAAAAATCAGGATGGGGGTGGGGGGTAGTAGGAGCCGATATAAGAAAAAGACCCAAAAATCGGGACTGTCCCTATAAAATCGGGACATCTGGTCACCCTAAGTGGTGGCTTGGTGAGATTCAGTAGCCTCTTTCGGATCAGCATTTAGAGGAACACTGCCGGGTGATTTTGTGCCCATGAAGTTTTACACTACAAATATGAATAGTGTTTATGACTTTTTTTTAATAAACTGAAATGAGAGAAGCTGTTTTGGACTCTCATGCTGCAGACTTGGCTTGAATGGGAGTCTTTGTGGGTCTTAGGCCCCGCCACACGGATCAGATCACAGGCTTGGTTTGGATTGAAGCATTCCCCCTGCAGAGTCTGCCAGCCAAACACCGCAGATCCAGCTAAGTGCTTGAGAACTGGGAAGTGAAACTGACCAGTTGAGTTTCACTGTCCGAGGACTGGTCTCAAGATTATTAAGTAACACAGGAAAGCTGTTTTATGGGAAGGATTTTTTTTAATCTTAATGTCCTTTTAATGTAATGTTTCTGGACCTGAAATAAAACTTTCTGCAATGCAAATGATTCAGCTGGTAGCACTCCTACTATTGCAGTTTATCAAGTCAGTTGGATCTGGTTTTGAGCTAGAGTAAATGCAGTGGCACAAGCTTTTGTTGGTGTGTTCCCAAAAGGTAACCTAACAGGTTTGTACAATCTTTTGCTTCCTTAGAAATGCAGCTTATCTTTGTTCTCTTTGCAAGAAATTTATCACATATTCGAATGTGGTAAGGCAAATGCTGGAATAATAAAAGTAAGACAGGCCAGTATTTCCATTCCCCTGTATATAGGAAAGCCATGTAATGTAGTTTACGAAAATAACGTGGTGCTGTCTTTGAAATTTCTAGTTTATAAGAGATGAGGGAGATTGTTGCTTGTGAGTAGATTAAATATTGGTTATTTTTAAGATACAGAATTTAGATACAGAAGATCTGCTTAAAGAAAACAAGAATCAACCTTTTTGCATATGAACTGAATGTGTCAAAACATCAGCCGTTCTTTGAACATCTCGCATGAAACGCTTTCTGAATGTGTGTACGTGATCCACCGTATCTCACTAGACGATAAAACTAATCCGTCTTTGGAGCTGTTGCATTTCAGTTTGTCAGCTTAGGGCACATGGGAAGGGTGCGTCGCTTGGTCTCTCTCCTCTTTTATGTATAAACTTTTTTTCTTGTGTTTTTTTTTTTTTTTTTTTAAATGCAGCCATGCCTTATACGCCAAGAGTAAATGGGGAAACTCCCATGTCTCTCTGTTACTTGTATCACAAATTGCTTGTGCACGTGCTGTAGCCTTCTACCCTCGAGTAGTCCCTCTGACGGCATGAGTGAAGCTGAAGGATGAACATGACAGCATAATGTTGTGGCGTTTAGAGTCTGATCCTTCATCTGTCTGCCTATGGTAAAGCTCCTATTGACTTCCTTTGATGCTTGGAGCTGAAATACTGTATGTGTGGGGAGGTGGGGTGCTGGAGAAAACAGGGATTGTCTGTAGGGTTCCCCCCCCCTTATCTTGTGATCTATAGATTCTTTTCCCCCCTCCCCCTCCTCCTGCCTGAACAACTTCAGTCTTGATGAGGCATCTTCTGATGCCCATTTATATCCAGCAATTAAGGATCCATGAAGATGTGACCCCTGGAAAGGGTGATGCATGTGAGTTGGTGGTGGAGCGAGAAAGATGTGAAAAGCCCAAAGCTCTGAGGCCTTGCGTTTGCACTACTGAAATCAGAGAGTGTCTTGCCCCTGGCTTCCATGGGAACAGGATTGGGGCCTGGGAGAATCTGGCCCCAGCCCTGCAAGCTCTCAGCACATGAAACCCCCTTTGGAAAGAAAAGGTTTCACTGCCGTAGCTGGGCACCATTCACTGTACTTAGGGGTAAAAGTCTCTTGTAGCCAAAATGACCAGGATCTGGTCTGAGCAGGGGGCAGGGGGAGTCAGGGACTCCCGAGTTCGAATCCTGCCTTGAACTCCTTCAAGTCAGTAAGGTCTTGATCCAGCCAAACTCTTGAGCACATGCTTCGTTCTAAGCATGTGAGTAGTGCCACTGAAGTCAGTGGCACTGCTCACAGACTTATAGCTAAGCCAGAGGTCCCCAAACTGGGGTGTGTGCCCCCCTTGAGGGGGCATGGAGGAACGTTCAGTGGGACACGGCTGGGGCCTGGGCCAGCCCCCACGGGGGTAGGGAGGGAGCTCCACTCTGCTCTACTCCGGGCCCCAGTGGCCACCCCGGGGCTCCAACTGCCAGCCTAGGCCTCGGCTCTGCCCTCGCCTCCAGCCGTGGCGCCAGCCTCGGCCCCCTTTCCCCTCCCCCCCCGGGGGCTGCAGCCATGCAGGTAAGGTGCGGGGTGCGAGGTAAAAAGTTTGGGGACCACTGAGCTAAGCACATGCTTCAGTTCTTTGCAGGAGTGGAACCCTAGCTGCTCTGTGCCTCCATTCCCCCAGTTGTACAATGGGAGAGAGGGTTTGTATTTGACTTGCAAAGGGGCTCGGAAGGTTAGTTCACGTCTCGTGTTGGAAGTACATAGCACCTGGAAAGCATCCCCATTTATTATGCATGTGCTCTGTACAACATGCAGCAGAAAACCCAGACGCTGAGG